TCACTTTTTGCCACCTCTTTTTTTGGAAATCCTGTAAAACTGTAAAGGAATCCATGTACCTTTGCAGAAAGAGCATAAGCTGTGTTACCTATGGCTCATCAGAACCCTTTTTTTTTTTGTTTGTGGTCTTCCATGCAATAGCTGATGACATAAGCTTTACCTTTTGGTCTACATTGGGTCAGTACAATGACATCAGCAATTGCTTGTGGTGTAATTTATCAATATGACGAAACCTTTTCCATTCACTAATTAGCTTGTCTCCTTTGGCTGTAGCCTCTAAGATGCTGTAAAGATGAAGTCACCGCAACTCTCTGGGTACCTAGTCCATCAGACTGTAGTGGACACTTACTGGATGCCTTTTGGCTTTCAAAACCAAACAACTGTGTCTGTATAAGAGCTTTGTGTTCACAGGTCTCATAAAACTACAAGAGATGCCATTCACCATCAAAAAGCTTTACCATTGTAAAGCTCCCTGTTTAGCTCTGTGTCTGAATGAGTGATTAAAAAGTTCTTACATTTTGCCAAATAATTTGCTAGAAAGAAAGATACATCCAGCAAGTTATGCAATTACCATTATTAATCAGCTCATGACTTTATGAGATCGAGGGAATCTTATTTTACACTTGAATTTTTAGCTGATGAGCTAGGTTCACGCAGTTTCTTTCCCTCCTTTTCAGAAAGGAATGGAGGGGAGTTCATTCTGTCAGTGCTGTCAGAGCAGATATCCCCTATTTGTTTATTAATAATATCCATCTGGATTATGTCAAATGATCCCCCCTGCATTTCCATGGGTTTTTATTCAAAGAAAAATGTTCTGAGCCCCGTTGTATCCATTTTGAAATTGCTAGGAGCCTGGCTGTTCTTCCCCTGTTTCTAGCACCTACTAGTTACAGGACATCAGGAATGCAAGCAGAGGGCAGATGATGGGAGGAGGCTGTTTTTGTGAAATCTTCTTTTGATGTGTGCAAACAACCAAAATAGGGTTCTTAACAGCCATTGTAAGCCAAAAAAAAATCCTCTGACACTTACCATCTCAAAAAGATGAAAACCTTCCTCCCATTTCCATTGTCCCTGGGCTGAGCTTTTGATCTGATGCAAGAAATGTGGTATGTGTCTGAAGTTTAGAAAGTTTATGCTGGCAGATGGGAAAGAGGGAGCCGGCTTGAGCGAGCCTGGACTGAGCTGGGACCGAGCTTCAGGCACGGAGTGCTACCGTCCCAGTGAGGGCCCTGATGTGAGCGGGCCGTGCCTGGGAGAGCCAGGCTTCTTGCCATGGGAGACAGTGAGTGCCAGGAGCTGCTGAAGTGAGCCTGGGGCCTGGTGGGACCTGCAGAGCCCTCACAGCCATCACCCCTGTCCCCAGCACGGCCTGCAGGCCGCTTGGCCAGGCGCTGCATCAGGCCTGCTCCCGCTGCACTGCTGGCAGCAGGCAGACCCAGCACTGCTATCCTCCCAGTCCGGCTCAGCCGAGCGGGAGGGGGGGGTGTCTGGAAGGCAGAGGCAGCCCCTGTTCTGGTGGGACCTCTCCTGCCAGAGGCTCTGGTTCAGCACGTCCAGTTGTGCTCCGATTTGACTTTTTGTTTCTGTACGTGCAAAGAGGCAAAACCCTGAGTGCTGTGCTGACTCGAGGCCATCCTTCCCCTTGCGCAATGCAGTGCAAGTTGGGAGGAAAGTTCTCCACATCTTGAGCAGTGATCTGCCCTCCTGCCACCACCAGCAGCAAGCTCAGATTCCACCCTTTGCACCACCTCTGTGCCTTCTGCTTGACTGTGTGACTGACGTGATCCACGGCTTCAACACGCCTCCTTTATGCACCGTTTCCTGCTCCTTTATTTACCTCACAGCCCTTGCACTGTGGGTGATGAGAGGTGGGCACTGCCTGCTGTGAGCATTCCCACCCTTCGCTCTTTGCCGCCTTCCTCTCTCCCTCAACCGTGTGGACTAGGAAATACTCAGCCTTTAATGCGGAGACTCTAGTACATTGCACGTTTTGCTCATTTGCTTTCTGGCCGTGAGCCCCTGTGGTATCATTTTCCAGCATTTTAGTCAGAGGGCTAGAAACTTTCTTTTTTTGTTTAATGAAAGTGGGAATTCACCCTGAGTCCCTCAACTACGGCAATGGCAGCTTTAAGAAAAACAGAACGTGACAGATAATAGATGAACGTCTTCAGTGCTCTCATAAGGACCTGGTTTCTGCTGCATGCTGTGCTAGCTTGCAAAAGGACACTCCTCGCCGAGAGAAGTGTTTGCACTTTGTGAATGTGACTGAATCCCTCGTGCTTTCCCTCCTTCACTTTGGCTCTCTGGATCTCACGGATGTGAAAGCTGTCTTCTTTTTCGTTTACATCTCTTGGACACATTTTCAGGCCTAATCATAAAAACTAGATTTTCTCACAAATTTCAAGTCCTGAGGCTTCCCAATCTCTTGTCATTTTGTGCCCTGGGAAAATAAGCTCGTTACTATGGCTCGAGCCCTGGTGACCATGGAGTACACTCAGCCAATCTGTAAAAGTGCACACTAGATTATTTCATGCATGCCTTTAAGTCCTTTACAGCGTTTATCAGCATTGCAGTCATTTGAAACATGTTTTTTTAATGAAAAGAGTACCGTTGCCACTGTTTAGTGTTGATTATGTGGTAACACGTTTTTATTATCACCCATAAAAATGATTTGGAGCTGTTCCTGCAGCCGGGCTGTGCTAGCTCTGCTCACGCTGCCCCAGGGTTGCAGGCCCTGCAGTTTGCTGCCCTCTGACCATGGATTTACTGTCACCTCATCCTGCAGCACCCCTTGGCCATGGCCAGAGCTGTGCCCAACACAGCCTGCCATCCTCTTGCCACTGCAGGAGCATCCAAACCATGGCCTGGCTCTGGTCCCTCTAGTTCACCACCACACAGATTGGTCTTGTCTCTATAGCTGAGTCCGCTTTGGCAACGCTGTTCAGGTATTTTGCCAGGGAAGCAAGAGGATAATATAACAGTATAAACTGGTTCAGAGAATGCCTTCAATGCTCACTTGAGCCCCACGTCAATGGGAATTAAGTCCGATTGTGGCAAGGCGCATGCTTGAGTGTTTGTTGAACTGATGGCATATTTCCTTCAGCCTGACAAATTACAGAGCAGGAGCACAGAAGTTGATGAGGCATACAGAACCGATTCCTTTCTTGTCTTGCATCCGAGAAGCTGTTGGATAGAAGCAGGGCTCACGGTGGCCTGATTCCTTTTGCTTTTTTATTACTGTTAAAGTGAGGCTCTGGACCCAGGAACAATGCAACAAAGGAGGAGTTTCCCTTGTTTGCAACAGCTGAGGTTCAGTTCCCCTGCACTTAAGCTAGCTCCCAGTTTAATTAGTTTCTGATTCAGTTCTGTCAGGCCAGTGCATTCTGCAGGAAGTTCATCATTCCTGGCATTGCTGTAATTCTGGCTCTCACCAGGCCTTGCAATAAATAAGTGATAAACCCCATAATAATTGCAAGTTAAAAACAAATGAGTGGAGCCAAGTCACTCTCATTTATAATTGCAGTGTGACTTCATTATGTAAAGACAAATGCAGCATGTAAAAACTGAAACTTCTAGGGATTTAGTGGAAAGTTTCAGCTGTATTCTCTTTTATTTCCCCTACCAGTAAATCAGGATTGGATTTGGTCGTTTCCAAACAGGGGGTACCAGTGCTATAACAAATCACAATGATGCCCTCCTCAAACTGTTTTCTGGTGTAGAGTTTACTGGGGGTGCTGAGTGCTTGGATAGGAACTCTAGTTCTGGACACCTCAGCCCTGCTTCTGCTCCATGGGCACCCTGTTTCTCATCTGGGCTTTGCCAGGTGAGTGCAGGGCTGCAGCAGTGCATCCCAAGCACAGCTCCTTGCCTGCCCCGCAGGGCAAGCAGTTCTGCCCTTGGCTTTTCTGAGCAGCTTCTGCCTAGCAAGTGGGGTAAAACTCATATGCAATGGAGCACAGGGGAGTGGCTGTTGTTGCTTAGTAGTTTGGGAGGCAGGGGGAAGGAGCGTTTAGATTAAAACAGAAAAAGATATTGTATAAAAAACAAAAATGATTACAAATTGCAATGACCGTTCCCCCTGGCTTCACTTTAACTGAGTTTATCAGAAGGCAGTGTCCACCTGGACCCTCCATCCTCCACTCCTTGTGGATATTTAGGGACATGGTTTAGTGGGCACAGTGGTGATGGGTCAGTGGTTGAACTAGAGAGCTGTAGTGGTCATTTCCAACCTTTATGATACAACAGCATTTAAGCTTTTTGCAGTTTCATGTGGGCCGCCAGTGGAGGGGAAGCGCAGTCAGAATCATACAGGACAAAAAGGATTGTTTGGCCAAGGAGCTTAGGTTGTGAGCAGCCCAGACAGCTCTGGGACACACACTGGGATGGGGATTTATTTGAGTTGTGAGTTTTAATAGTACTCTACTACTGCTACGCAGAGCTTTTTGAGGAAATCGCCTCTTTTTTATTTGCTCCAAAATTAAATCACTTCAGCTCTTTAAAAGCTTCATATTCTCTCTGGTCTTTAATTAAATAAGCTTTTGTCCTTTGACTTGCAGCCAGTAGTAGTCCCCAGACATTGCAGTCTATCACCTGGGGCATCCCACAGCCCTTTGCACGGCTCTCAGTGATTCTAACCTGATTTCAACCTAGCAGTGAAAAGCTGTGTCCTCACTCCAGCTTTGCTCCCTGGTTTCTGTTCCTCACCAGGGAGACAGTCTCATTGAGGCTGAATGTCTGCAAACAGTGAAGCCCTCTATGAAGAGGACGTGCAGCGCTGCACTGGACTCTCCTGCAACATAACCCAGCTAATTTCCAAGCTATTACTGCCTCTTTCCAGAAAACCAGTAGAGCTTCAACACCAAAAACCCTGCAGTCTTCTGTACAGTTACCCACATCTCCTGCTGGCAAGGGAGGAGTTTCAAGACTTCTCGGGGTTGAAGCTGTGTCAGTGGGAAACCATCCCACTGACCTTACCTGCCTTCCCTGTGTCCCCTCTCTAGATCCTTCTGCTTGAAGCCGCGGAGCGAAGCCCACCACTGGAAAACAACCTGCCCATCACTGGGACCACGGCCACCTGGTACGATGACTTGCTGCCGGATGCGTTTCCCCTGCTAAATCCCGGGACTGTCCTGAGGAAAACAGTGGGACCTGTTGGTAAGTGTGGTCTGCTCTCCATTGAGTCACTCTGCCTACATGTGTGGTACCTGTAGGATATCATACAAACATAAAAGGTCGCGCCAAGCTCACTTAGCATTGAGAGCTTCACAGGACGGAGGTTGGAGAGAAACTCTAGCATCTCCTTTCCTTTGCTTTGTAAAGAAGAGGGCTAAGGTTTTCAGATGGGCAATTCTTTGTTTGCTTGTGGGCATGTTTGCTGATGGGATGAGTGTGAGGCAGGCAGCTGCAGGAGGATCCCTGTCTGCTTTGCACCCTCAGTGGGGACAACTGTACCATGGGGGGGCTGCAAGTGCTCGCTGCAAGGTGGGATTTTGCTCAGCAAGAGAGGCAGTTGAAGAGCTACACCTTGGTGTTAGGGTCAGAAGCAGCTTTACTCAGCTCCAGAGCCATCAGTCCTCCTGGAACTGGGGGTCGTTCATTCTAAAGGTTTAATATTGTTTGTGTCTGCATGGATCTGGAGACCTGGATAGCTTGAAACATTCCTGAGGAAACTCCAGAGAGCCATCACAGTGGGGTGCCCGGGACCACTTGTGTTCCCTTGTTGAGCTAAATGCAGTGTTTCTCCATCAGGAGTGGTGTGGGGAGGTAGAGGACTATGGCAGGGGTAATTCTTGGTTTTATGAGGAGGAATGACTTTCCCATGAGTATCAGCATCAGTTGCACTCTGCATTATATTTTTTAAATTTACTGTAAACACAATGGGCTGTTTTATGATCCCTCTTGTGGCATGAAAAAAAAATACACTGACAAGAAATTCCCTCCGAGCCCACTTGGCTAGACAGATCACTCCGCATTGAATTTCCTTGACCTTGGCATCCTCAATTCAAGACCTCCACTCCCTGTCTGTCAGTTGCTTCACTTGCTCCCCAGGCAGTTCTTTATCCTCTATAGGGCCTACTTTCCTTTTTTTCTTTCTTTTTTTTTCCCCTTTATTTTGTCAGAGCAGTTTATTATGGCAGCCTTTCATGAGTGCAGCAGACTTGGAGCAACCAACATAGACCAGATGTCGTCCATGTTTATAATTTGACAGGATGCCACAACATGGAGGGAGGTTCGCTAACAATATGTTCTGCAAAGTATTTTCAGAACCACACTGACAGCTGCCAGGAACTGAATTAAAGCTGTTTCCCCCAGTGTCCGCTATGTGTTCGTTCTGCCTTCTCCATGTCATTTATTTTTGCTGTTGTTGTATCTCTGCACCTGCACTTTGTTGTGCTGAAGTGAATGTAAGCAACTGTACAGACAACTCTGTCCTTTCCACTCAGTGTCTTCTCCGTTCTGAGGCTCTGTATGCATGATGATCTGCTCAGCAAGGAGCAATGAGCGCTGCTCTCCCAGGCATTTGGCAGTGCTCTTAAGGAGAGCAATCTCTTGTAGCACTCGCATCATGTTGCCTCTATGGCCCAGTATCAGCAGATATCTGATAGAGAGCATCTCTCAAAACAGGATGTTGTTGTCTGAAGCTTGGTGTTATCAGTCAGACTCCCACACTGGGTAAACAGCTGTCTGCGTGCTACCAGGTGTAGTTGTTACTCATTGTCACCCTTTGTTTTTCCAGCCTTGATTTATGTAACCTAAGTGTGGAATAACTCCTCTAGTGTAATAACTGGCGATCAGGCATGCACTGGGCCATTTCAGGTCAGCACAATGTCTTTCAGCAATCAGAAGAAATCAGTTAAGTTGCTTATTGACATGTGATTGCCTTCTCAATGCTCCAGCTGAGCTCTGCGTGCTTTGCTGAGGAGCTTTGGGGATGTTTCATGGATCAGGGTTCACACTTGGCTTCCTTCCCTCCCCACATCAGTTTGCATCTACCATTCAAACCCAGCCAAAAAATGCACTGTGGATTTCAGTGAAATGTAGGGAACTTGATGCAGTTGGTTTAGGACAATGGGGACTGCCTGTTTTGTGTGATTTCAACATGGTTCTGTGACTTGTTGCTTAAAGTTAGCCTCAGGTTCCCTTGCAGCAATTGCAGACCTCTGGAGATCTTTCAGCAAGTGTCACCGTGGATTAGGTATAAGTTAAACCTGAGTTCCCTGTGTGATTTGAGGCTGAGGAAAGCCAAACCTCTGTCCCTCCCATCACCTTCCACAGTGTTTTTGTGACATACTGCCTACTCTGCCTGCGTCTCCTCTTTCAGCCAAAGCAAATCCACATCCCAGCTTGCATGCTGCCAAGTTTCTAAACCCCGAGGACTAAGGCCAGGATGTTGGTACCTAACACAGAGATGGGTGATAGGAATCAGATGCTTTGAACGGTGGGAGTGTTTCTGGATGACCTTACAGCTCTGAGTTGGCTGATGCCTCCTCAGGCTGAGGTCCAGGAAAACTTGCTACTGTTTGTTAGGGTGACTGTTTCTTTTGTGAGTGACAGGGCTGAGAATAGACAACCATTTAAAAGCACTCGGAGCTGTTGAGACAGCTGCACTGCTGGCCCTTCTGATCAGCTTGTTAATCAACAGGATACATCTTACTGAGAATTAAGGAAATATATATACTCTAGCTGAGCCAGTTGGCAGCAAGAGACCTAATTTTTCTTATCTTGTTTTTTTTTCTTTCCTTTTTAACCCTGACCATTTTCATTAGAGCCTAAAGGACACAGAGGTGCAGAGGAGCAGCTAATACCACAGGGTAAGCGAACACTTTATTGCCTCTTTTAAAGCGCAAAATGTTGCTGTGCCCAGACCTGTACGTGATATTTTCCCTTCAAAAAGCAGAAAGATCCTGTGGCCACGAGCCCTCAACGATTCAGAGCCACGCAGATACAGAGAGGCTGGATTTCTCTTTGGGTTGTATTTGGTCACGGGAGGCAAAAAAGCAGGTTTATCATCTCTGAGACATTCTGTTCCCCCAGAACATGAAGGATGGAAACACTGCCCACAGGAGAGGCACTGAAGGACACATGGCTTCAGTAGATGGGGCACGTGCTGAGTGATGGGAGAGCACACCATTATTACCTTAGTGGTGTGGCCTGCCAGGGGCACGGAGAGCTGCTGGTGATTATCAGGGCATTGATTTGATTTGCTCTGTACAGAGAATAATGTGTTCCTGTGTATACAGAGACCTTGGGGAAGAAAGGGAGCAGGTGTAATGTTGCAGGTTAATGAGAGGGCCAGGAAGAAAATCCAGGCCTCTGCCCATCTGATTTGCTCTCTAGCAGTAGGATGTTCACACTCTACCTGTTTTTTCTTGTTATTGTTGTTTTCTTCTGTGGGTTTTTCTTTCATATATTTCAGGAAATGAATGCTTTCCAGAGGCTTTGGCTTCTAAAGCAGTGCCACTGCAGCAGAGCTAAGAAATGCCAGCTGAAGATTTGGCCTGTTTGTATTTCCTCCCCCTCCTTTTTCCCTGAATCCTTCCCTATTTATTCTCCCTTTTGCACTTGTCTCTTTTATGCTGGTAACACCATTTGTCACCAGTATGAGCATTTGCCTGACACGTTACCTAGTGCTGCTTCTCTCAGCCTTTCCTTCAGCATTTTCCTCCTTCAGGGAAGTAAGTGCCAGTTTCTTTAAAGCTCCGCTGCTGCAGCATGATTGAGGATGCTAGCAGCAAATGATTGTTCTTGGTCTGCAGAAGTTCACAGGATTGATTTATAAAGATTGAATTGAAGAACTGAGGTTGACTTACATGAGCGAGGAAATGTTTTGACCCATGCTCAGCAGTACAGTGTGTTATGCTTGCAAACATTGCTTCTGCTGTTCCCTCTGTGCTGGGAAGAATTTGCTGCAGTAAAGGTATGATGGGGGGCCTGGTAGGGTAGAAGAAGCCATTCAGTGCTCTAAGCAAATGGTCTTACTCTGTTAAATGGGCTCCTGATCACCTGCCTGAGCTTGCCAAGTGCAGCACCCACTGTGTCAGGTGGGATTTCGGCTTCAATCCATTGAAGGAGCCCTTCTTTCTATTCATAGAAAAGTCTGCAGCTTGCACCCTGTGGGTAAGCAAATTGATCCAAATGAAAATCTTACCTGAGCCTTGTGTGTTAGTACACAGCCTGGTTCCTTTGGGGCCAGCATGGAGGTGCTGCCTGGCCCACTTGTTTCTTTTCTTCCTTTTTTTTTCCCCCTCCATTCCTCTCCACTTCCTGCCCACTACAGGTTCTCCTGCTACTGGTCTTGGAGAGGCCAGAACATCTCCTTATAGCAGGAATGGGGGAAGATGTTGCCCAAAAACGAATCAAATCTGTGCTCTGCTGAGTTGTTCGTGAATGTAAAATATAGAGAGACTTGAAATCTGAATGTGCTGAACCTTGAACTCAGCCAGGTCTTCCTCTGGCTTTGTAGATGTCTGCAACTGCTTTCAAAAGCTCTTTGGTAGCCCGGAAACCAGGAACCTGTGACTCTGTCAGTTAATGCCTTTATTGTAACTATTAACCACTTAATGTGAGCAGACAGAATAACTCGCCCACCTCTGTAAGGTATTAAAGGCTTTACTGATGTTTGCAGAGCATTTAAGTGTATCTTTCCAAAGCAGCTATGACCTTCGTGAGCAAAAGACAGTGTTTTTCTGAAAAATACTGTACAACTGCCAATTGTGGTTTTTATTTTGATAGTCTAAAGGAAGCAACATTAAGATTTTATTTAACATCAGAAATGGTCGCTTTCAGATAATGAATGCTGCCTGCATCTTTCTTAGGCTTAGGTAGGCTTATCTACCTCGTCTGAGTAGAGATGCCAAGGGGCTGTAATTACTGCGTAACTGGTATTTCCAGGTGGGCTTTCTCAGCATCCTACCTATTGACATAAATTAACAACATCTTGTTACTTCAAAATGGGTGCATTTACTTCACCTGGGGATGAAAAATGTTTGTGCGCAGCATGGTGCACTCACTCGATAAATGAAAACAGGAGAAAACAAGGAAACATTTTTGACACAGAATCTCTGGGTGGTATGTATATGCCAACCAGAGCAAGTGGGAGACAGGGCTTGATTTGTTTTGGCAGATATATGGCAGATATAGAATAGGCTGGGTTGGAAGGACCTTAAAGCCCATCCAGGTCTGACACCATTGGGCTCATTGCCCCCCACGAGGTCAGGCTGCCCAACCAGGCCTTGGGCACCTCCAGGGATGGGGCAACCCATCTCTGGGCAACCTGTTAAATATATTTTATGTGTTACATATTTTCTGCCTACTGAGACTACCGTGAGATGGCATGAGGGAGCAGCCAGAGCCCACCCAGGGCTGTTCAGACCTTGAGATGGGACAGCTGCACAGTCAGGTTGGCTCTGAGCAGCGCGTCCCAGCTGAGGATCACAACCTGCTGACTGCTGTGCATGGAGGTGCACATGTTTCTTTAAAGACTAGAAGGAGAAATGGGGAAGCAAGGTCCAGTCTGGCTCTTCTCCTCTATATACTGGCAAGCTTTTGCCACCAGTACCACCCTATCTGTGCTACCTGCACAAAGCTGCATTTCTCCCCCTTGCAGAGTCCCTCTCTGCTGGTTTCTAGGTTGCAAAAGATCTTCTGATCTCAATAGTGTCTTAATCTCTGACTCATTTTCTGTCTGGATGTTTTCAGGGCTGCCAGGACAGGTTGGTCCTCCAGGCCCAGTTGGACCAACTGGTCTTCCAGGACCACCGGGACCAAAAGGCGAGAAGGGACAACCTGGGGAGAGGGGCCCAGCAGGGCCACCAGGTAAGTCCCATGGGAAGGCAAGGTATGACAGGGAATATTTCATGTTGTTCAAATTGTCTCTGCAAACAGACCACACACACAATGTTGAGATTTCAGTTTATATTAAATCCGTGAAGTCCTCTGAGAACTGAACTCAGCCAGCAGCCCTCAGAGTGGGTACTGTCTGCATGGAGAGCATTGAAAGTCCTTGGGATTTCCTATGGAGTTGGGGAGAACTTGTCCCAGAAAGCAGAACAGCAGGATCATGTTTTCCCATCCTGCTCAGGAGCTGTGAAAACCAATCTTCAATCTGTCAGCCTTTGGAAAAGAGCATTTCCTGTTCAACCCTCTCACTGTGTGCCTGTTTTAACTGCCTTTTTTCTCCATCATTTGTGTCAAGCTGTCAGATGCCAGAATGTCAAATTAATGATGCCGTTGTATGCTAAGGGAAAAGGTTATGAGGCCGCTCTTTCACAGTGCACTCCGTTCCTGTGCTCAGAGACTTTCTACATCCCCTAAACCTTTTGATGAAGGCAATACTACACAATAGGTGCCAGACCTCAGCCTCTGTGCTTCGTATGCATTTGAAAGGCTGTGCCTCGTAAATGTGAGCTCAGGAAAGGTTTAAAATTTGGAGAGTGCCTTAAAATGTGAGAGTGGCTCTGAATGCTTTTTTGGCAATTCCTGGCAAACTGTCAGTGGCTGGTCTTGCCAAAGATAGGTTTGCTTTTTGGTTTCTCCATTTGCAACAAAAGCTTTCCAGTCCCAAAGGAGTCAGAATTGATTTGCTGCTGCATTGATGGTTTCTGTTGCTATTTCCATGCTTTTGTGGTGGTAAGGTGACATACAGGTGTATCTGAAGGGAAAGAGAAAGAGCTGTACTGCTTTCAAGCTGCCTTTAGTTTCTTACTCAGTCTCAGGGAGAAAGAATTTTTTTTTTTTGAGCTTTGTAGCACCTTTGGGCCAAGTAAGGCCATTTGCTGTTCATAGGAAGAAGCCAAAGAGAATTAGCTTCCCAATTTTCAGTATTTTTCCCCTGATTCCCACAATTATAGTTAGGGACATAAATTCTGTGTACCAAGAGAGCAAGAATATGCTGTGATATTCCCAGACCATGGTAAGACCTGCTTAGAGGGGTTCTGTTGCTTAACAGAAATAATTCTGAGACCACATTGCCATCCCTTTATCTCATCTCTGCATGTTTTACATCTCCATCACATCTGGCAGTGGTGAGTATTTTCAGGTAGCATTTAACTTCTGTCTTTGAGAAACTATTCCTATCTAGACTCTTTTTTCCAGGAATGAATGGGCTTCCTACTGCTTTTTACATCCATTAGCACATCTTCAAGTGCACTAACAGATCCTCTCCTGCCTCTGCACAGGGCTGTTGGGACCTCAAGGACCAAGAGGACTTCCAGGAGAAACCGGGATTCCAGGTCCCCCAGGTCCTCCAGGGCCACCTGCCACCCCGAGCCTCCCACTTACCTTCCAACAAGGGGTTCTCTACTCCCTCCAGCCCACAGCTGAAAAAGAAAGTAAGCTTCTTTCTCTGTTCCCCTTTTTTTCTTTTTTTTTTTCCTTCTGGTACATCAGCAGGATGGACAGGCCCAGAGCAGCTCAGCTCTTCTTCCCTCCTTCCCTGTTGTGCTCTGTCAGAGCTCTGCCTTCCCTAGAAGCAGCAGGATGAAGCTGCCTGTATTGTGTGGGTCTCTTGGAAGTTCCTGTACAAGATGAAACGTGGGTAAATAAATACAGTATGTCTGGCCAGTTAGGTGCTGGTGCTTTGAAACTGCATGGCTGTGAGATCTGGTGGTGCTGCTGTTGCAGTATTACAGGGCTCAGGGATATTCAGAAATGAGCAACTACTGAATGTTTGCATCTCTGAAGTTACATAACATAACGAGGACATCTGTTCAGTGCAGCTCTTTTCCTGCCCCTGCAGACATGTCTCCCCACCTGTGTTTTTGGCACAGCATCATCCCTTATCCATGCAAAACACAGAACTGTGGGCTCAAAAGCCCAGACCAAGACTGTAATTTATTCTTTCCCTGTGTCTGGAGGGTCAACATTTCTTTGAGCTTGTGGTGATTTTAAAGATATATTTGCTTGATTTGTTTTGTGCATGGCAAGAAAAGGCTTTCTTGGAAAGGCACGTCATGCACTCTTATCTGAGCAGTCATATTCAGGCTTGATCAGATTTCTTCTGGTCTGCTCTTGTGTTGCTGGCATCTAATAATGGTAAAGCAGAACTCAGACATATCTCTGCTTGGTGTGTAAACCCCTGGAGCCCCAGCTCTGCTGGTCTCCCATCTCCACTCCCCCAAACTTCAGCTGTGCCTTTTCCCCAGCTCTTCTGCTCGTGTCCAGTTTCAAAGCACAGTTGCACTGCTTACAGCCAAGGATTAGTAAATCTCCCTGTGCCTGATGGCGTTCTAGAGCTTTCCTTTTCCTTCCACCCACTCTCCTTTCCAGACTTCTTTTCCTGTGAAGTGAACAGATGTAGTTTTAATTTGGAAAGAACTTTTAACAGTTCTATTTTATATTCAGTTACTTAAAGCATATGGACAAGATTAAATTAATTGAGGTTCAATGCTAAGGTTTTTCACAAAATGTAGATTGAGCTGCTGCATTCCTGAGTCTTCTAACAAAGAAAATTCTGCATTAAGCCTTTTATTCCAAAGGATGGTCTAGGTACCATCACAGCCCCTTTCCTCCTGCTGCTATTTAAATTAAACTCTTGCAAGATAATGGATAGGCTTAAAAGCTTGCAAAGACACAGATTGCATGGCCTTCCCAGCTGATGTATGAGAAGAGTAAACACTATTGTCCCAAAATGGGAAATAGGTAAACAAGTGGATAAATACCTGTATTAATTCAGCCACTACTGGGCAGCAGGCTCCCACATGGACTTGAAGTCCATGAGCAAATGGTGACCGCTGCATCCTGGGGCAGCCCTGTATTTTTCCTACCTGTAGTGGATTTCTTGGTGCAGAAGTAGTAGCCAGGAAACTTAGCATTGCTTCATTTATCTACTTTTGGGAGAACTCAGCAACTGATGTTGTCTACAGGTTTCCAGATGAAGCCCTAATGCTGTATGGAATTAAAATACCGCGGTTGCAGAGAGTGGCACTGATGGAGCTGACAGGCTCTCCTGCATTTGTAACTCAGGTCATGTAAGAAGCAGAAAGCTGTACACTCCCTGGAATTTTGTGTTGCAGAATTTTATTTAATCAGTTTTGTAACTGATTAAATAAATGTTACCTGCTAACTGGTGCTTGGACAGAGCAGAAAGCACAGGCCTTTCCCCTCGTGCAGCTGCCATGCCCTCTGCCAGCTACTGACAGCTTTATCCCAAACCTCATGCCTGAAAATGTTGCTCTATTCCACTCACACTTCCTTGGGTTCCTTCTGCTCCTTCTTTAGCTTTCGGTGGTGGTTGAGTGAGCCAGGCACTGCCAACTCCTGTATATTGCCCTCTCACTGAATTGCAGGAGTTAGAAAGGTGCAGCAGGGCTGTCTGCTGGGGGCACATTGTTCATCCAATTCCTCCCAGGGCATAGGCAGGGCTCTGTAGTGTTCTGTGGAGATGAAATTTCCTATAGATGTGTACAGCAGAGACTACGTGGAACAAGCTGGTTTTGTTGGTGTACTGACATTGGGTATGTGAGCCCAAAATCTGTAACAAGTTCTGTTGTTTAAGAGAAAAAAATCTCAATACTGATCTGCCAGTATAAGTCATCTGCCTGGTCATGGTAAAGTTATGCAATTTTGAGACCAGTTTCTTACAAAATTAATGTTTTCCTTACGTGCTGGCTGATTTTGCCTACCACAGGTTGGTGGAAAGCTGATCCTCAACAGCCAATAAAGCTTAGCCTTGCAAATCCTGCATAGGTTTTCCTTTCCTTTTCTTTTTTTTTCTTTTCTTTTTTTCTTTTTAATGGAGCACATCTGAAAACTATAAACACAAGATTCCAGCTGCTGACAGCAGAGGGAAGCATATTCCTGGTAATGGGCATGTGCACCCACAGAGATGTGAGAAAGCTGTATTGGATTATTATTAATACTGCAGTGTTTGGTTCCGCCTGAATGTGGTTAATGCATGTGCCTTTATTAATCACAATAAGTTCTTGTTGGCAGTGTTTATCAGTAGGCAGAAGCCAAAAATGGGGAGACGTTTTCTCACAGTTTCACAGTGCGGTGGTAAAGAAATTGGTCCCAGTTGTCTCCCTCCAGATCAGGTAGCAGAAAGAAATTAGGACAGGATTACTTCATTTCCATCCTGTCTCAACAAATCAAGCTTATAAAGGGGGAATTTATCCCTTAGTCAGAAACATGAGATACAAGCCAGAAGCCAGACTGCCCTGCCCCTCTGTTGGGGCCGCTGCTGCAGCACTGCTTTCCTTCTCTGCCACTTACAAAAGCGTGCATCAGGTATGTGGTGTAGAATCAGCTCAGTGTTAGAACTGAGACACTGCTCTCTTCTGTGTCGCAGTTACCAAATTGCCTTTCATAAATAACTTTGAGTCCAGTGGATCTAATGTCAGGGTGGGTGGATTTGTGGGGTATAACTCCATCATTGTAGTAACGTACCACTTAGTGGGAATGTTTTGTAACCCAAATGCTTGTTCCTGGTTTACCTCCAGCAGTAATTAAATCCCAGTTCATTTGTAGCCTATCCTCTCCTCCTCTCAGTGGATACACATTTAATTTTGTTGGCCACTTGTTCTTTAAAAACAAAAGGCTCTGCAATTGCTCTTCGATGCTCGTTTCCCAATCTCATCTTACTCCCGAACCATGATGGATTTTGACATGGTCAAATAAAACTCAAATTAATTGGATTACACACTTCACTTGGGTACCTTCCCTTCTGAACAAAAAAACAGTCTCAGCTGTTTTGTGAAGAAGGGAAGATGGATGGGTCTGGAAACAATAGTCTAAGAAATACCTGTTTACATTCAAGTTTTAGGCTCGAAATTTAGTTCTCAGAGGGACCTGGGTTAGATCTCATGCTGCTCTGCTGCCAGGAGGGCATTGCAGACATATACTGTCGTCCCTGGCAGTTAAAAAGATTTCACAATTTCCCTTGGAGATGCTTTCAAACAAGGACATTGAACATTTTCTCTGTTGTTGCCAGTGCTCCAGAGTTTGAAAAGGCTTTGTGATGTGTCTGATAATGTTTCTGGAGATTCCACTGCATGTTGTTGTGGCTGAATCCTGCAGAGAAAACAAACATCCCTCCCATGTTCCTGGTATTATTTAATGTTGTCATCAGTAGAGCACTGAGCCACCTGCAGAGTTTTACACCTGCAAAAAGTTCTCCAGAATTTCAGCATAATGAGTTAAAGGGATGGGTGCAAGGGTGTTTGAGACCATGGGCAGGAAGAAAGAGATGGGCATTCTTCATTCTGGTGGCCTCCAAATGTGGAAAATGTGGACTTCTCAGAGGGTTGACAGAGAGTCAAGATCTCCAGGCATAATCAGGAAACCTGCTGTTGGCTCTATAGTGCTGGCCAGGGGAATGGATTGTGAATCTTCATAGCATCAAGACCTGGGGGCTCCCTTCCTTGCTTTGTGTAATTGGTGTCTTTGCCAGTTGTGGAATTTTCATGCCTTGGTTTCCACACTGTCAAGCAGTGCTGTGGGATGCTCAGGGTGAAAGATGCTGCTGTACAGGTACCCCACGGACTGCTGGCATGTAGGTCTGTGGGGAACAGACTGGTTAATGGTGGTTTTGCAAGAAAAAGGGGTGTTTTCTTTCATATGTAGTTGTTTTTTTTTCTCTTCAGTTACCAACAGAAGTGGTAAGTTAAGCCCAGTGGTTCGAAGATGTGACAGCTACAGAGTGACGAGCTTTACTCCCAGCAGGAGACGACTAAGAAAGATGTGCAAAAGCACAACATTACTCCAGTTTCTGCTAATGGCTTCCCTCTCCCTGCTCTGCTCCCATCTCCACCCGTTCCCCAGACCTGCACAAGCTAAAATAATTATTACTGTACAGCGCAGAGCTACTTTTAAACTGCTTCAGCATTCCAAAGGTAATACAATATGGGTGTGCAGGAACACCAGTTTTTGGACAGAAAGGACGATTCTTCAGGGCTCAGAAGAGATGGGATGAGATCTGGGGGATACAGCCTATGCTCTTGGATTGCTCCTGGAGTCCAGATCTTGCATCCAGAAGCTCTGCCTGCCCTTCACCAGCAACAGGCGCCAGAGGGTTTTGGAGAGAAAGTCCTGGGACTGGGCGGCTCTTGCTGCAGGGGCACTGACTGTTCTGCTTTTTAACACAGATGGAGAACCCCAGTTGGCTTCCACTGTCATAGATACCATCATGGCTGGCCTACCAGGACCACGGGGAGCACCGGGCCCTGTGGGACCCCCAGGTAATGCACTCAGTTGAGCTGCAAAGCTGTAGTGATAGGGAAGAGGAGCAAAGGAGCAAGGAGAGGAAGTGTGCTGTGGGATGCCTGCGGGGAAAGCACGTGGTCCTCAGTGGAAGGGCTGTGCAGCCATGGGTAGTGGGTAGGATGGCAAGAAGTAACTAGTTCTTATCTGTTTATAGAGGCAGATTTTTCTTGAGACTTCTAATGTTTCCTTGCTGCTTTGAGAGGACATACTCTGAGAAGGGAATAATTGAAGAGTGCCTTTAAGAGTGGGTTGCCCTTTGAATTCCTCTGTGGGAGCAGAGCTGTTCTCACTGCTGGTGCAATCCTGTCTGGTTGCTGTAGAGCTCTACTGAGCAGGATCTGACCAGCTGTTCTCAGTGATATCTCTGCACACTTTGGAGATGGTTTGAGCTACTCCAGATTTGCACCTATATAACTGACATCAGAATCTGGGACCAAAATTCAGTAGCAAATCTTTTGTTTCTCAGTGCTGATAAGTGGATTAAATGATAATATTCCTGCAAACATCAGCATGTCCCAGTATGATACATATTTAGGAGCGAACTCACATCAGTTGCAGAAAACTTTTCCTTTCATTATGAGGGCCTTTAATTTATCCTTCAGTTCCTTTATTCTCTGACTTAAGCATTTGTATGGTGCATTAATGATTGAGGCTAATTCAGCTGTACTTTGTACATGGTGTCTGCGTTGTTTCATCTCAAGGGTTTTGACAACCAAAGCAGAGAGGAGTATTACTAAATTCAGACTAAGCAAATATCCTGTCTCTCATTTCCAGGTACAATTTAACAGCTGCAGTTGGGATATAATTATCTTTCCAAAAGTAATGAATTTGTTCTGTGACTGTAAAACAATTTGACCTGTTCAGGCAGTGTTTAACATGTCCTGGAAACGGCCTCTTCTGTGATACAGACTTAAAAAGAACTTTTTTGCTACTGAAGTGAGCATGCAAAGAACAAAAGAGTGCTTTGCTTTGCCACAGTTGGCTTCTCGTTCTGGCTACATCCAACCTCTGTCTCCTTTGTGTTCATCAGCACCAGAGACTGACTCATGCAGACTTGCAGACTTCCCTGGCCACCTGCAGGACTTCCTCCATTTCTAAAACAGCAGTCCGCTCTGATGTTTCATGGATCTAGCTTAAGATTTCTTCAGAGCTGTTATTTTGCAGCACCTTGCTGTCATCCTTCCTGCCTATTTTCACCTTTTTTTTCCTCCCCGAGCTCTAAGAGCTTCCCTAAGGCACGTGTGATATTAGGATATGGGTGTCCAAGAATCCGGTGCATGATGTAGTACTTATGCTGCAGTCTTGTGATCAATGAATGGCTCTCACCCACTGGAGATGAAGTAGAACAATAAAATGAAACGCATATGTTTGAAATTTAAGAGCCTTCTAAATCTCCTTAACATTGTCTCAACTGATGATTCCCCCCAGGACCACCGGGTGCATCGGGACCCAAAGGGCCTCCAGGACCTATCGGAGTCCCTGGATCACAAGTAAGGGTTTTCCTGCTTTGGGCTGAGGGGCAGAGTTGGGGGGTAGGTGTGGAGCATCTTCTCATTTCAGAAAGAGGAGAACTATTTTATAGGTCTTAGATGCAATGCCTAGCTCCTCATGAAAGTCTGTGATTTTCATACCTGTCTTTCATAATGAACTGGGTTAAGAAGTTGAAATGGTTCTACTTTCCAGGTTTTCCCTCAATCATAACAACATATCTTGCTGCTACTGTGTCAAAACATTTCACCGTAGCCTGAGTTGATGCAAAGGATTTGACGTGGGCTTTACTAACATTGTGATAGAAAAACACTGCATTTCCTGTGGAACACATAAAAGAGGAAAAATGTGTCATTGAGAATTCACCAGTTCACCAAGGTGAATTTCTTCATCCTAATTTATTGGAAATAGCACTTTCCATTCAGTACAAACTTCACAAATTCCAATCAGTTTGATTCATTAGATATTGATACCAAAATTGTGGAGGGGAGGATAATTATGGGGAATTGTAAACTCAGTCAAAAGAATGTTTTATGGTGGAAGGGCAAAATAGCCACATGGATGAAAAAAGAAGTTGAAAAAATGAAGGTTATGATGAATAATGAGTGGCCAAACTGCTGCAGATGGTGGTTGGCTGATACAACAGGACTCTAGTTTGGGATGAATGTTTCCTACTGTAGAGGCAAACCAGTGACAACAAATATTTCTATATTAGGTATCTTACTTGAATTAAAGAGATAAAAGTGACTGAGAAGTACAGAAGAGAGAGAAAGTTTAAGTAATTTAGACAACGGATGTGACTTAGATCCTGATATGACAGGTTTGGGATTGCTGGAAATTAGAGAAAGGAGACTTCTACTATGTATTTATTAATCACTTTGAAGAAGCAATGAGAGCAAGTTAGTGAAATTTTGCCAGTGTAGCAGAATCATTTCAATTAGTGAATGCTCTGGAGAGCGGTGAGAAACGCCAGATAGATATGAACACAGTGGGAAGTTTGGCAGTCAAACGACAGTTGCAGTTTAACGTGATTAAATATAAGGTAATTCACAATTCATAAATAGGTTCTTTAATAGAGTCTGGCTTTTTCACATGCAGTAGGCATTATAAATTTTTTATTTTTAACAAGAGACTTGTTTAATTCAGTGTTCCTTGAGCATCCCTCTGCAAACACGCACTGAAGTCGAATGTACAGAGCTGTCAGGTGCAGAGGTCACCTATGGACACTTGAGCTTTGTTCACGCTGCTTTTTGACATAAGGCCAAATCTGGTCTGTGCCCTACCTTGCTTGCCAGCCCTGGTTAACCTCCTCTATCACGCTTGAATCTGTGCATCTTTTGTGGATACAGAGGTGGCGTAGCTAAGCTGCCATCTTGCACAAGTTGATGGTGAGCTGGTTGGACTGACTGCAGGCAAGGAGCAACGTGATAATGGTGAGCAGGGCTGCCTCCCAGATGAAGCTGAGAGAGTGCTTCTCCACTAGTCCCTCAAAATCCTGAAACTGGGAGAGCGTTCCTCCCACTGTCCCTTGAAACACTAAGGCCTGACCTTGTTGGGCCACTTAACTACAGGCTGAGGTTCCTGGCGGCTGTGCTAGAAAGCCCATTTCACTGGATGCTGAGAGGTGGTGGGTAGTGGGGGCTGCTGTTAAACAAGTCAGCGTGAAGCAGCAGCTGCCTGATGCGGAGCTGGGGTTCCTTGTGCTGCAGTCTCCAAGGACTTCAAGTTCAAGTTACTTGAGGTGGAAAAAAGCATCTTGCATACGGTCATGTGGAGCTGACATGGTAAATAGAAACAAACAGTGTTGTTCTCTTCCTGCCTGGTTTCTCACTGCGGCTTCACTGGATGGGTAATTTAAGAATTTGGATCAATTTCTGCAGAGCAGTTCAATTAGTAGAAGTCTGGAGACAACACCCTTCATAACCATTGGTGATTTGCTTTATAGATTTACTCAACCCAGGGAGCAAAATTATTAGTAGAGATTGGGCTTAATTTGAAAATTGTTTATTAGGGTGAGTGAATCGCTTCAAAATAATTTCCACTACACAATCCAATTAATTTTCAGGTATGTATGGTTACTCATGCCACCCACTGAGGCAATTATGAAGAGGGGGGAAAGCAGCGGGGATTTTTAGGCTCACCATACCATCTATTTGTTAATTTCTTCTCAGTCACTGAGAACAAGAACTATCCTGTCACATTGACCCTTCACAAAATGTTATATCAGCAGCATGCAGTTCATTAAGAGAACTAAGAAGAGGGATATGTAGAAAATATAGGGCTTAAGGTATCTGCAAAAAGAGCTTCCATTGTTATTGCTTGAGGGCAAACAAGAATCCAGCCTAGTCACTTAATGCATATATGGGGTTTACAGAAGCTGAGGATCACTGGGAAATGTATTGGCTATATCTTCATAATGGATGTGCAATAGAAACTAAATTCTTCTTGTCATGCATCTCTTCTAGGGCTTACCAGGCTCTCCAGGACAACCTGGGCCCAAAGGCTCCAAAGGAGACCGAGGAGAGAGGGTAAGGTTTTACGTATGTGGAGGGATTCCCAGCGAGATCTGGGTGAATGCCTTAGAAACTTATACAGCTCTTTCAGATTCTGTGGGACTGCAGCCATGACCAATTTTAAATGTAGAATTTCTAAGTCTTTTGCAAGAAAAAAAACCCAAAACAAACCAACAAGATGAAGGTTTCCCATACAGATAAAAGACTGAATAACTTACATAGTGTCTGGTGTTCCCTAAGGAGATAGAGGTAATAAATACTTGGAATGTTAAACCTGGCAGAGGCCAGCCTTCTTCTGCCAACCAAAGCTCTTTAGTGTGGACTGTTTTAGATGTTCTGATGACTTCCATCTGTGATGGTAATGCAGTAAAAGCTCATCAGACTTCTGAACCAAAGTTGTTCCCCAGGTCAAGTGATGCTCTTAATTTATTTAGAAAGTTTGCTATACCTCAGTCCTCAATGAATTATGTCAAATGATAACAACTGTAGCAAGAAGGGCTGTTGGAATATTATTAGCACACAGATGAAATTTAGGAACGAACAGAGAAAAATCTTAACAAGGATATATCCATGTCAGATCCCCACTCCAGCATTTAAGGAAGGGTTTCAGATGGCAGTTTGGCCTACAGCTGTTTCTGTCAAGCTTACTCTCCAAAAGGCCACGGTCTTTGAAACTGCTTCTGAGAAGCACTAGGGACACAAAATCACCAGAGATCTTAGTACATGGTGCAAGCATTGAGCAGTTAGATCTGCAAAATGTGGAAGTGGGTGTAGATGGACTGTGGAACGTTATTGAGACCCTACTGTGGAATGGTCAAAGAATTAAAGAAAGAGAGAAGAAAAATGTTGGCTGGCACCTGTTAGGAAAAAAAGAAAAAGATATCTGCAGTGGTGGCTGTATAGGCATGCTCTTGTGCTGCAGCTGTAGGGAACAAATTCTCTTCCAAGTGCCACTTTTACCATCACGTTGGAGGTCACTGCCTGCAGGTAGGTAGCTGTAGATGACGTGCATCTCCTTTTCTCCTTTTTTTCTGCTCAGTACTCCAAAAAAACAGAGGGGTGACCAAAGGTGCTAAAAAAGGCAAATACAAATTGGTTAACTCCTATTTGGTGACTTTTTGAATTCATGAGAATAACTAGTGAAATACTTATGTTCCTCTGTCCAGACTGTGCAAGGCCCAGGTGGGTTGTTTCACGTTCTCCTGAGGGACTTCACATGAAAGAGAAGGGGATATCTGAGAGTTGGAGTAGATATGCTTTCAAAAAACTCGTATTTATTTGAGCATCTTTGCCCATTTTATGGGTTCTTGGTCTCCACTCTTACATAAGAAACCACCTGAAAGAGAGCATCTTATGCAGGTCACCCACTTTGGCTTTACTAATAGATTAGACTCTAATGCATTTCTGAGCCTAAAGTTCTAATAAAGAGTGAAACCGTAACTGTAATTTCAGTACAGGCTAGCCACTACAGCTTGTTGCCATTAAATGCTAACTTCCAGTTTAAAAAGAAAAGAAGGAAGCATGCCATTTAACAAGGTGTCTAATTTCCATCCAGGAAACTGGTAAGAGCTCTTCCTCAATGATTCCCTGAACACGGTGCTTTAGTTTGTGGTTGGTCATATTGCTAAGAGTGTTTCTGCACTTCCTCTGAAACAAAAGCTGTGATGCACAGTGTCCACATTCAGTACAAATGCTTGAGACTCTGATCTCATGCCTTCCTCGTATATATTCAGAGCTGTACCTCTCCTTCTAGGTTTGGGACAAATGAGATTTTCAAATACACAATGCTTTCCTAAATAGAAAAATGCTGTTTCCTGCCCTTTCTTTCTTAGCATGGAAAGCAGAGCTGATCGCTTTTTCTGGCAGAATTTCTGTAGGACGTTCTGTGTGCTTTTTGTCTTTTGTGAGTGTGGATTTGAATGCTGGTTTTGACAACTACGTGCTGCAATTTGGGGTTTGGTGGATACAAATTAGGGCTGGCTTTACACGGAGCGGAGGAGCTGTGCAGCTGCAAAGAAAAGCAGAGGAGGGTTGACAATATCTGTTGAGGTATGAGAAAATGTTATTATACATTCTTCCTGCTTAATCTCCGAAAGAACAGATGTAGAAAGAGACCTGAAGCAGTCTGAGCACATCCCCTCGATGGCACATTTGTGTGTGCCACTCATGATCAGTCTCTGTTCATCTAATTCTTAACGAGTGCCAGCGAGGGATGCGTCACATCATCCGCAGGCAGTCTGCAGAGGTACAGCTCTTGAGGGCCTGGGATAAAAGATATTTCTAACATCCAACCTAAATATCCTTTGATCCCCTTTAAGCTGATAACATCCTTTTCTGTTCCCCCTGGACACCGAGAACAGTCTGTTTATGTATTTCTAGTGTGTTGTTATGTCTCCTCTCTGTGGTTTGCTGCTTGCCTGTGCTTTTTTCACATCCCTTGCTCCTTCCAGTGCAGAATCCAAGCATTTCCCTTTGAAGATGCTGAGAGCACCTGACAAACTGGGCTTCCTCCTGGCGCTCTCTGTGTCAGTGTGGGCCTTTGTCTGATGCTGTCTGGCTGTGCATTGCACAGGTCTCCACAGTAATGTTTTGAGATGCCCAAGGCCCATTTGTGTTCTACAAAGCAGCAGTGGGATGGACAGAGTAACAAAGCAGCTCTCCCTTTTTGGCAAATGCTACAAAAAGCTGCCGCCAGCTAGATGATTTTTGAGGAACAAAAGGATGGTTTGTTTCTGTTTATGTTTAGGGAAAAGAACCGGTTTCAGTGTGTGGCTGTTTCATCAATAGATTTCTTAAGATGCTTTTAAATTTTGCCTCCCTTTGCCCTGCCCCTGCTCTCTCATGAAATAATCTATAGCTTTTCTCCTAGTTAGGGATTGTGCTCTGCTCCAGCATGTTCTGGGGTGGGCAACCAGAGCTGCAGAGGAAAACAGGGACTAAAAAGATGTTGAAATTGATGGCGTTTCATTCCACCAACACATACGGTTCCAAAATGTTTTAGTTTAGCCAAAAAGAAAGAAAGAAAGCACAGAGAACAATGTGAAAATCAGCACAGCAGGAAAAAGAAACAAATCAACCAAAATACTGTGTGTGGGTTTGATCAGTAGCTGCTGGAGTTAACGCGGGGACGTGTGTGTGGAGCAGGAGGCAGATTAAATCAGTGCTCTGTGGGAGTCCTGGGCTCTGTTTGCTGTCTGGGGCAGCATCAGCCTGTCTGTTTTACTAGAGAGAAGAATGCTCTGTCTTTGTGAGAAACGAATCTCCAGCCAAATTCCTTCCTGCTATAATATAACTGACTGCTGTAAAGTTCAAGAAATTGGTAATCATCTTATGGAGAGGGTACCGAGTGGAGTAGCTCAGTATTTAACTGAGCGTCCCCGAAGTGTGATGGGATTTGGAGCTGATGCTTGACAGAAAACCATGACCCCCTTTTGCTGTCTCTAAGTGATAATGTCAAGGGAAAGGAATTTCTTCTTATTATCCCAAGTGTAAGGTTTTTCATTAAGCCATCTTAATTCCACTAGTAAAAAATGACACTGTGTTCTTGTCAAATGGAAAAATGTCTCCTAATGACACTTACTTTATTTCCAACAGGGGCAAGCAGGTCTGACTGGAGAGAGGGGCATTAAGGGATTTCCTGTAAGTGATGTACTTGCGGGTGTGTACGAGACTCAGTTGGTTTTGGTACCTGCCTGGCATGTCTGGTACCATAAAAACACCAAGCTGGTCTGCAGCTGGTTCAGCCAGCTCTCAGATACAATGCTCAGGTCAACTGACTCCAGCTCAGAGATTTGCTCAACAAGAGTCCTTACCTTAAGTATTCCTCTGCAAATGGAATGCGAAACATAGCACTGAAATGTGGAGTGTGTCAGAGTGATCCCATAGGCTTTCTCCACCTTGGGTGGCTCAAGGAATGGAGCTGGTGTCTTGCAGCTGTGAGTCTTCCTTCTAGAGCCAGAAGTATCACAGAGCAGCCAGATTCCCATTGATTTTTTTTAGGAGAGGAGGTTACTTGCTCTAAGTTCAGTTGTTCTGTTGATAGCTTTTGCCTCATGGGAAGCCCTAACTGCACAGTGCAAAGCAAGGTAGCATCTATGTCTGCAGCCTTACCAGCCATCTTCTGCTAATGGTCTTTTGTCAACAGGGCAGTCAATGGCATAAAGTGCACTGCAGGAAAGGACTGCTGACAAAGTCCTGTTAACAGGTCAGAGGTGGAGAGCAGTGATCAGGAAGGCAACATGCCAATGGAGGAGATGTGCAGTATTTGCAGATCCCCTCTAGCCAAAGTCTGGCAGACAGAATCTCTTCCCTGCCCTGTGAGGTTCCTGGCACTACCAGAACTCAAAGGGCACTGTTAACCCAAGGTACATCAGCTGCTCTCGGTGTCCTCTTGCACCTTGATCTGCCAAGCTGAGCTGGAAAACCTTTAATGAGAGTAAGAGACTTGGCCAAATGATTTTTTGGCAGTAGCTGAACCAGTGCACTCAGGCAATGTCTGCATAGGCACGTATGGCTAGAGTGCAAACAGAGTTGAAGTTTGGCTGAAAGTGAGTGGAACAAGTTGGGTGTCTTGACTGGCAGCATTCAGAGAGATCCTGGTTCCTCTGGGAAGTTTCTCTTCACCCTTCCTTAATTCCATCTCATCATACTGTACAGCACCTACAACCTTTTCTTCAGCCCTTCATCCCATCCTCACTCTCTGCTTTGCAAGTATGTCAGGGATGTCCAGTGAGTCTGAAGAGTCCAGGCATTTCCACCCTATTTCATTCAGCCATTTGTTAGGCTTTGTCTTTAGCTTGTGGCTTAATCTCTTTGTGTCTTCTGTTCTTCAGGAAATGCACGAACTTAGGTTAGGGGGAACATCAGACCAGTGTTCACAGCACGTAGGGATTTTGCTCACAGAAGGCTTAATGAGCATCTTCAGAGGCAGAAAATGATATGAGTAATTAATGAAAGAAGAAAGGAGGAACTTTATGGTGTAAATCAAAGATGCACAATTGCATGTTTGGGGGAGGAGAACAGCATTTCTTTCTCAACGCTGTGGACTAAGACATTGTTCATTGAGATCTGCTGTAGGTCCAGGCCATGGCAGCCAGCCCCTCGTGCAGCTTGGCCACCCCCAGCCAAGTTTATCAATGTGAGAAATAGCAGTGACCTCTTGGGAAGCTGCTGGGAGCTAGGGCAGAGCTCAGGAGTCATCTTTACTGTAGTCCATTGGAGGGAAGTGATTCTGGGCAGGATCCTCGGTCATATGGAGACAAATTTCTCTTTTCTGTTTGTTTTAGGGTGAACCAGGCAAGAAGGGCGAGGAAGGTGATAAAGGTGCTGATGTAAGCATGGGTTTTTACTGTGGTTTTGTTTTGTTTTGTTTTTGCTTTACTTTGTGGCTCTTTACTGTCTTCTAATCATATTCCTTTCGGTTTGTGAGGGGCAAGGCTCCTGTCAGCAGTTAAAAGGGCAGCAGAAGAGATGAATCTTGGTATACAACATACTGCATGCTAGAAAGCCAGGTCTTAGTGGTCTGTTGGCCATGTTGTCAGCTGCCCTCCTGCATGCTGAACACCTCCTCTGCTCCCAAATATTATTCTCCCACACAAAGCTGCTACAAGGTAAGAAAAGACTACCTGTGGCCAGCCTCAGAGCTTGGTGAGAGGCAGAACGAAGTCATAGACTCAGAGAATGGCTTGGGTTGGAAGGGAGCTTAAGGATCATCAAGTTCCAGCCCCCCTGCTGCAGGCAGTGTTGCCAGCCACAAGATCAAGTACTGGATCAGATCCCAGGGCCCCATCCAACCTGGCCTTAATCACCTCTAGGGTTGGGGCATTCAAAACCAATCTGGGCAGCCTGTGCCAGCACCTCACTACTCTCTCAGTGAAAAACTTCTCCCCAGCATCTAATCTAACTCTTCTCTCTAGTTTAAAACCATTCCTCCTTGTTCTGTCAATACCTACCCATGTAAAAAGTTGACTACCCTCCTGTTTATAATCTCCATTTAAATACTGGAAGGCTGTAATGAGGTCACCCCGCAGCCTTCTCTTCCCTGAACTGAACAAGCCCAGCTCCTTCAGCCCATCTTCACAGGAGAGGTGCTCCAGCCCTCTGATCATCTTTGTGGCCATCCTCTGGACCCTTTTCAGAAGCTCCCCATTTTTCCTATGATGGGGGTCCCAGACCTGGATGCAGTATTCCAGCTGGGGCCTCATGAGGGCAGAGTAGAGAGGGACAACCACCTCCCTCTCCCTGCTGGCCACTCCTCTTTTGATACAGCCCACAGTACTGTTGGCCTCCAAGCACACACTGCTGGCTCAAGTCCATCAGGATGAGCCCATGTGCCACTGTTTCAGTTTATTTTATAAGGCAGAAGCAAGATGAGGCTTGCCAACCCTCTCGCTTTTCTGGTGTCCCAATGAAGAGAAAGTCCAAGAAACTCAGTGGCGTTCAGAGTAAACGTCAGGCAAGAGCAAAACCTGTTCTCCAGGTAGTACAGTACAGTTATTAACATAAGCTGCATAACATAACATATTTGACAGGAATATAGTCCCTGGGTTTGGCTCACTGTAGAAGCAGGCACCAAAGTGAAAGGTTTGGCTTAGTCAGAGGCTCTGCAAATGTAGGGTATAACTGAGGAGATTTTCTTTAGAGATTTCTCCTGCATTCCAACTTTACTCTTGCAGCTTATCTCATGTTTTTATGACTTCTCTTGTTAAATATTTACACTGCACAGTTTGGCATTACCAAGCCAACATTATGTACAAGAAGCCTGTTTTGCAAATATTTAGCACTGTTGGTTTTCTTTTCTGTCTTGCAGGGGGAAGGTGTTCAACAACTTCGAGAAGCTCTGAAGATTTTAGCTGAGAGGGTCTTGATTCTAGAGCACATGATAGGAATTCATGGTAAGCCTCGCTGAAGTTTTCTTTTCTATATAACTGGGTCTCTGTTCAGGAAGCTGCTTGATGATTAGATGTCCTCCCAGTGTTCTAAGTCTCTGCCAATGTTACCCAAAAAAATGAATGATCCATGAAGTTCTCTTTATTACAACTGACACCAAACCTATTTTCACAATCAGATTTAAAGAAAGTCTCATGTGTTCCTCCAAATAGAATTTATATTTTCTATTGAGGCTGTTTGCTCTCCCATCATGGGTTCAATGTGTGGCATCATCCGTTTATGACTGCTTTCTTCCCTTAACCAGAGTGTGGGGTTGTGTAGTCATCACAGATCAGACTTCTCCCTTGGTGGTATTTGAGGATCAATTCTCTCAGAGCTGCCAAAAGTTGCTGTGCCAATTTCTTCCCAACTGAAACACAGCAGAAGCAAAATACTGGTTGAATCTACTATCTCAGGCTGTGAGACACAAGGCTGGTCCATGACACTGAGCTGAATATTTCTTAACTAGATTAATTAGGAACCTTACATGGCCTTGCTTGGCCATGGAACTTCATTCTTGGCCCTGCTTTTAAATGGAGCTGCTACCACACCTTCCCTCAGATCAACCTCCACTTCTATTCTGAAGTGACTTTTGGATATTTATATGGATATTTATATGGCAAATGCTTAGTTTAACTATCTAGAAGTTCCAGATGACTTAAAGCAGTAGTGCAATAGGCTTTGAGAGCCCGCAAACCACTCCTGCAGCCAGCAGTCTGCTAAAATGAAAATGCTGTTGGGCACTTCAAAGCCAAAATAGTGTTGGTGTGTAGTGCTCCACTGTATGGCTGAACAGGCTTGGGTCTCTACACCATCCTCACTGTTCGATGGAGATGTACCTTTTAGAGGTAAGCACTAATTCCAAAAGCAACAGGCAGCAGCTTTGGGAAATCATGAATCATGAACCCATGATTTTAGCTGCAGTCATCCTGACCTTACCTCTGCATTAATCTTAGTTTGCTTCATGTTTTCACGGGATTTTATAGACCAAGAAGAGATATTTTTATGCTTGTTTGCTTTGACCTGGTGACAGTGCCAGGAAGATCCCCATTAGGCTCCTTACGTAGCAATCCATGCCTACCTGCCTGGTCTTCTGGTAGGAACCCTGTCTGTAACTACAGCCCAGTGAATGTCACAGATACAGGACCCGGGGTCTAATCCTCCATGATCTTTTATTTTGCATCTCTGCTTTTACTGTAAAGCAAAAAAAATCAGCTCTACAAACTTGTATAGACAGTGGAGCATGAACTAGAGAATACACACAAAATTTGCCTCTGCAGAACTGCCTGGTTTCTCAGTTTTACATGTTCTCTGTTTGGCATTTCAGCAGCATTTTAGCAAGCCATTTTTACTGTCATAAACGTGTTTTCTGCTATTGCCTGGGAGGGACATGAGTTATTTGTATCTATTATACTCTGTACCAATGTAACTACATCAGCAAAAGTAGATTATTTTTAATTGCACAGCATTTAAAAACTATGTTTAAACACCTATGTTGCATGACTTCATATAAATATTTCCCTTTTTATCCAGTAACAGAGAATTATATTTTCATTCTGTTTTTTTGAAACAGTTCCATTAAGACATACTTAGACTCTACAAAAATACTACTTAGAAAAAGAACTTAGAAAGTGAAGCATGTTTTCCTTATGCTATTATGTTCATCTCTGTTCGTGAATATGCTTTAAAAAGAAAAAAATGGAGAAAGACATAATGCAACAAAGCAGGGCTTCCTTGAGCGCAGACCTCCCTTGCAGTGAAGGGCACCACGCAGCTCTAAGTCACCCAGCACCAACCATCTGGTAGTTTTCCCAGTGGAAGTGTCACAAATCTTACCCCAGGTTCCTGGGTAGCTCAATTCCAGTTCAGAGACCCACGCAGAAATGCCAATCGCATGCTCTCATTTTCCCAGGAAACTTCATGGTTTCAAAACCACAGCCACCCAAGCAACAAGGCAAAACATACCAGCAAACAAACCTCTTCTCTGCAGTGGGAGGGCAGTGGGAGATTATCTGGCCCAGCACACAGTGGAGAGCAGCCCAGCAGGACACAGGAAAGCCCAAACTGTTTGGCAGTGCGTGCTTGCAGCGAACAACGGCACAAATCCTGAAGTCAATTGCTCCCTTGGCATAGAAGTGCTGCCTCAAGTGAATGAACCAAGGCTGGGGGTCTGGTGTGTGAGGTTGAACACTTGGCAGGGAAATGAGCAAACAAACATCCCTCTCGGAAGGTAAAAGGATGAAAGTAGGGCATTCCAAGTGATGAGGCAGCATTGCATTGGCAGCATCTGCTGCTGACTGCTGGGAAAATTGAATAGTGGCCGTAGTCAAAAGCACATCTAGCTCTGTAAAGCAGGATGCTGTAGGAAGAGGACGTGTGTGTTAACATGAAGCATGCTGGGAGAACAGACAGCTAATATTTATTCCCAGCTTCATGGCTAATGTGGCTGTAGCCTAGGGTGAATCAAGCTTTTCATTCAATCCTTTCAGGAAAGACATCCACCTTCACAAGGAGTGAAATGGTACCTCTATCCCCAGGAAAATCACTTCTGTGTGACCCCTTGCTAATGCTTTGTCCTTCAGTAACAGGAGTCTGTGGGCAGTGCTGAGTAGCCATTGCAGCCCAAGGCAAATTGTGATCAATAACAGAGCAGTGTTTTTATAAATGAGGTGACAAATAGGAACAAGAGCTGCTGTGTTGCTTGCAGTACTAGTATTTACCCCAAAGTTCAGACAGGGCTAAATATTGGAGTAATACGATGGCAGCAAACACGACTTCTTGGTGGACAGAAAGACAGCAGGAGGGACGACACGTCTTCCAGAAGAGGAATTCAGAAAGGCCCATTCAGTCTTTCCTTAGCCTCCCCTTTTAAATAGTGCTTTCCCGTGACTTTCTCTCCTTACAGACTCTTTATCTTCCATTGAGCCAGGCTCTGGACAAGACGTGATCCCGGGTTCTCCTCTGCGAAGCAGCATCAAGATCAAGCGTGGAGGACCTCAGCAGCCTCAAGCCTACCAGATCCTCTCTTCACTGCTGGATGACAGTGAAGCCAAAAGGAGAAGCAGTCGGATGAAGTAGGAGCATCTCTGTCTTCTCCCTGCTCGTCCACCAGTTAAAGATACAGTATCCCAGTGCTTAATTACAGAGTGCAAATGAAGTGAGTGGGAAGCTCTAGTATTGGCAGTTGGATTTGCTTACCTGGCCAATGCTATGCCCTTATTGCAGGGAGTACCTTACCCCGAGCTTGGAGAGGGTCGTATGGACACTTTTCTTGATTTTGTTATTTTGCCTTTGGAATACCAGATGCCATGTACCCTTGGAAGCCGTCCATAGCAATAACACCTCCTGAATATGTCTCCAGAGTTTAATCATTCCCTTGTTCCCTACAGCCCTTGAAAGTCACTCGGTAAAGCCCTGCTTAACTGGCTGACATAATCAATCCCAACTAGGCTCAAAGCCAAACCTTAACCTTGTCCTTCAGTGTAGTTGGTGGCATCTGCTTTTGTTTCATGCAGTGGTGTCAAGCTGACTCCCAGTTGAAGGTAACACTTTCATAAGCCTTTAAAGCATTCTTATCTGCAAGGATTTCTCTTAAGCAAAGAACAAATTGGAAAATTCCAGGAATGTTTTATACTGTTCATCTGAAAATTCTGATTACTGTTCAGAATTCAGCATCAAAATCTCTACTCTACATGTTGCAGATTGCATGTGAATGGCATTAATTGTATTGGTGAAAGGACTTTTGATGAAAATGTTGATAGTGTACACTGACTTCAATGAGATCTGACTGTTTCTGTGAAAATTTAGAGCAGATGCAATGGAGTTTTACCATGCTGTGTTCATTTTGCACATACATACAGAGAAAATTTAGTAACACCAATAACTATTACCAGAAAATGTAGAGTTAAGAAACATCAATAAGGAAAAGTATTACCATGGGTATTTTTATTCTATGGGAGAATCTTTGCTACTTGAATCCCCAGACAGTTGTAACAGCAAATCACACTCTGGGATTAGTCTTGACAGGAGGTTATCCTGCACTCAGAAGCTAAATACAAAATCATTCTACTATTTGCAATAACAACTTTTTGACGAAAGTCCCAGCATTCAAGGTGAAGAGGCTGAACCTGCCCTTCAGTGACCAATGAATCTCTTACACCTTCTGTGCAAATCCAATTAGACAAGCCATTCACGTAGACATGGAATTTTGTTAGAAATGGTAAGACTGATCGACACAACCAATGGTACTGTTTTTACTTAGGTGTATATATATACATTTATCACTGTTCTGTCAAATTTTTACCTGTAGACCAGAACAAAAGCGAGCAAATTGTGTTTGTCATCTTAACGCATCAGTCACAAACATTTGTTGCGTTCTGTCTGCTTCCTAGTGCAAGGTATATAGCTATCTGAAAGAGGCAAGCAGAACTGCTACAACTACTTTTTGTCAAAAGCTTTTGTAGAAACCACTGTATGTATGTATGGTCCATGCATTCAGGAATCCTCATCATCCAAAGTGACCTTTCTAAGGTAAAAACACAAACATTCTATACTGGAAATGAACCTTAAAATGAAGGAGTTTTGCCAGCCCATTGACCACGCATTAAATTGACCTTTTGCATATATTGTAAACACACAGAGACATCATAACACCCAAATGTTACCTCTGAAGGGCATCGTATTTTCAGAAATGAACAGGATAAAGGCTACTTTAGAATAACTGAGTTTGCCAAATGGGTTCGTTTGGCCCCGTTCCCTAGAAATCCAACCATCCTTCTCAAAATGGGCAAAATAGCATAAGTTGATGCTTAACAAGTAACAGAGAAAACTGTCCACATGGAGAAGCTTCTACTGCTGTACAGCTACATAAATAGCTGAGGAGAAATCACAGACCAAGCTAAACATGTATGCTGAGCAGACTGGTGCAAGCTAGAGGTACTGGCTGTATTAAGGTTTCAGATTCAGGAATTAACCAAGCAATATTGAAAAGGTGAAACATTAAAATTCATTTCACTGGTCCTCTGACTTCAGGGTTGAATCTGGAGCAAAAGAACAATGGGTCCTTTTTCATTTCCCTGGCATTTTGGAGCTTTCACATTGAATTGAAAGAGAAATGTTTTTTCCTCCGAGTTTGCCCTTATGAATTCCAAGCTATTGCATTAGCTTAATGAGTACTTTCTTCATTCATACTGACTAGGATTTCAGATTTTAAATGAAGAAATTATTTAAAACAAATTAATGGTAAGATGAAAGGAAATGTAATTGAAGTTGTTTCCAATTAATCCTGCCAAGCCAACAGTCATAAGATTGGTTAGGTTTGGGTTGCAACAGTTTTAATTATTGCCTTTTCTAAATTGATTTAAGAGCTATGTCAGCTTTCGCTCTCCACACTTCTTGCTTTGTTCCTGTATCACTCTTTCACGTGGTACTGTATCTTTAATTTGGTTACAGTGGGATTAAACCAACTGGACTTTCCCTCTCACCTGGAGTTTCGTTCCTCACTACTTATGCAATGGTTGGACCATGCTCTTGTACAGTCCCAGTTTAAATATGCTGTGAAGGTGAACACAGCCTCACACTCAGCAATTAATGGCATTCATGACTAAGCCAACCACTCCAACCACGTTTCCCATCTTAGGCAGGATACTAAGATTCATTTAGCCTGGGCATCTACGCATCTTGCCATGTCTGTGTAACTTAGAGAGTGGATTTATTTGGATGCGTGCTCATTTAGAAATATATTTTAATTGAAATGTTTAGTGCTTTATCTTACATGCATACTGTGCAATACCATAGTGTGTTCTTTTCCTTTTTTTCCTAAGACTTCTTTGAAATTCTTCATGTTTCTTTGAACGCCAGTGTGTTTCTAACTTGGATCAGTTCTGGTGGTAGAAATGCATTCTCCTTGCTGTGAGCTAACCAGAAGCACATTGCACAACTGAAAATCTTTGCAACTTGTGCACCCTGACGTTCACCAGCAATCTGGTACACCTGGGAGGTGGAGAATACTTCTCTCCAGAGTATCCAATTTGCACTTACTGTAAAGAATTGATAGCAACCTGGGGAAATAAGAATAAACCAGAGAGAAGAACCCTCATCTGCTCCCACCAAACTGCACAGTAATTTTCCCAACACCTTCCATAGGAACAGGGACAGGCCATAACAAGCAGATCCAAGTTGCCAGCTCACAAGAACTGGTGCACATGGCTTCCTGAAAGTTTGGCTCTGGGATTCACTTTCAATCCCAGTCTCTTCAATGAACTGTTTTAATGTAATGAACCCGACCACTGTGACAAAGGCTTCCAAAAGACAATCAGCTTCTGGAATTACTTCTTAATACAGTATATTGGAAATTCTTTCTCTTCCATGTTTACAGCTTCTGCTTTACTCAAGATTACATTCCGTGCTTGGTGATATAGGGGTTAAACTACTTGCAGTTTCCATTATTGCTTTGAAACCAGGCAATTCAAAGGTGCTATAACTGTCCACAGTGCACATTCCCACCCATAGAAGGAAATGTTAATTTTTTCACTACTTATTTTACGCAGTATCTTTTTATTTATATCAGTGTGTTTTGTATGTGTGCAAATGGTCCCATTGTAATAAGCTATACAACATTTGGTCTTTAATAGGGCAGCCATAGGCAGTATTTTGCAGTCGTGTAGTTTCTAAACTTAGAACACAAATAAATAATCTCTTCTGACACGATGAGTTAATTTATGGCAGGCTCTAATGTTTGTTGTAAACACAACCTGTTTGTTCCACCTCTTGCATGGTTACTTACCTGTTTTCATATTGCTATGTTATTGTTCAAGATACCTATTTCTCTTTATTTGCTATGGGTTTTGTTACTGTATATGGAATGTTTTGTATTCAGCATTTTCTTACAGAGCAGAGTGGGAACAGTATTCAAGAACCCACAAATACCAAAGACCTTTCATGTAATGCACTGAGAAATAAACATACTGTAAATGAGTATGATGTCAGGTGTCCTGCATTTACAAAGTTCAGAGCAAGTTCAAGCAGAATGCATCCTGAAATTAAGGCATCTGTTTTTCTTTCCTGCCATCTCAGCTTTCTCTCACTGTATGTATGCAAATCCGGGTAGGGAAGGAAGGAAGGAAAGAAAGAAGGAAGAAAAGAAGGGAAGGGAGCCTTGGTAAGCCTTCAAGCAAGATAAAGTTTGCACATCCTGCATTGCAAGGAAGCCTCCACAGCCAGGCATGGGAGGAGGTGGCAAAGGACCCCAAGTGCTTCTGTCATAGGTGACACGTCTGGTTTCTGAACTTGTTTTTGCTCCCTAATACAAACAAGAGATGTGTAAATCACAGCCAGTGCTCTTCCCACTGCTCATATCACACCGTAGATACGCAGCTATCACTACTGTAGCAAAGTACTGTAAACAACGAGAAACGTCCACAGAGTCAAGGCCTCAACTTCATGCAGATTTTTTTGCAGTGCTGATCAGGAGAGGCTCAAGGTAACTTGTTGCCAAACATTCCCATGCAGCACTGCTCTGGGTCCTTCAGGGTGTATTTATCTTGTTTTTGTGTCCAAAGATCTCCAACTCTGATATATTTATCCTTGCACAAGTCCCCTGAGGGAAGGCAGGGCTGTTAATCACTAGTGTACGGATTGGGAGTTGCTGGATAAAAGGCCAAACTAATTTCTTGGGACGTTTGTGGCTGCATTGGTCTGCCAAGTACCAATTAGCTTCAGGTCTGTGCTGGTCTCTGGGCCATTATGGCCAGGGACTGTAATCATGGGGGAAATGGTTCTTTTCCCAATGCTTAACACAGCACAAGGAAAATCAATGGCAGAGTTAACAGCTTGCACTTGTAGCAGGAGCTGATCCCCAAAACACACACAAGCAAAATACTGATAGCCTTTGAATAAACTGTCTTAACCCTTCAATCCCATTTTTTATCCACATGACAAACTGGATAACATATGTCCATAGTTCAGCGAGGAGAAGGTGTATTAGCCACTGTCCATTGAATAAAACACAACAGTCCGTTCTTAACAATGACAGTGATTAATTACTGCAACAATTTGCCATAGGATGTGGTACAGCTTTTGCTACTACACATTTTTCAAATTAAGTGGACTTTCTCCTCCTAAATGTGTGTGTGTGTGTATTCCAATTCCAAGCAGAATTAATTCAGCAAAGCCATCATGGACATTACAAATGCCCATTCTTGAACCTGCCTGCATTGTGTGCAGTTCTACACAGCGCTGGGTAGATCTGCTGCTGTTTCACTGTCTATACAAATTCATTAGTGCATGTCAGCAAGAACTTTTTAGTAGCTTCACACTAAATGAGGGATGCCCTGAGCACACTCCAGGACATGCACTCTTTGCACAGAGGTCCAACCTACACCAACTGACCATGAAAAACACTCAGCATGGCAACTGTGGGCTAAGATGGGCAAAGGACCGAGACAAGCTGGAGGTGCCCCACTGATCCTACACCAGTGAGTGGAAGGGAAAGGCTGAGTCAGAAAGACCAGAACAGCATGTAGCACCAATGTGGCTGTGCCAGCAAAAACCTGACTTACGCATAACTGGATGGAGTTAATGTTCAGCCAATAACACCAACACTGTGAAGGTTAGACTTTAGACTTAGATCAGAAAACATATTGGCTGAGAGATCAACAGTGCACTATAGGATCTCTCTGCTCCTTAACCACAAAAACGTCCTCAGAAATGGATGGAGCCCAGGTCTACCTGGTGACAGGAGGATGTGGTTTTATTGGGGAAAAGATCACAGAGCTCCTGTCCCAACAAGACTACATCAAAGAAGTCAGAGTTTTTGATTCAGTAGCAAGAAAAGAAGTAGAAAATTTTGCCACAGGTAAGAAAAGAGCATCAACTTGAATCTAGCAGCCACAACCCTCTCTTTCAGGACAGGTATGCTGGAGATACCACAGTTACAGGCATGGGGTGGAAACAAGGATTGAACAGACAAAACCTATGCTCCAATAGCTAAAAATTAAAAAAAAAAAAAAAAAAAAAAAAAACAAACAAAAAAAAAACCAACCAAAAGGCAGACAACAATAGAATCAAGCTCAGCATCTGCTACAGATATTGCATAATAAATTACTGTAATTGTGAGAGAAGCCTACAGCCAATGTGCTGTGCATAAAATGGAAGAGGTGAGGCTCAGTAAACATGCTCAAAGATATTAAATTATTCAATTTGATCACAATTCTGAATGTTGCCTTCTGATGTTTCACCAGAACTGATTACAGTGAAATATGTAGGGGAGAAGCAACTTGTTTTACTGGATTTGAGAATACCCACCCCAAACAAGCCAACCAACTCACATGGCTTTGCAGGGTTAGCGGTGGGCTGAGGCTCTCTCTCTGACTGTCCAACCCCTCAGCTTACTTCCAATGAGAAAGTAAAAATGGCTCAATGTTTTTTAAAAACAATCTTCACGATTTGACAGCCTACCTCTCTGCTGCTTTCTCCTTTAGGTTAGGGAGGACTGTGGTGCTTCTTTCTTTTCCATAGTTGACAATTCTGCAACCGACTCGCATTGCTCTCTTCTGGAAAAGCGTCACTGAGGGCAGGACAGAGGCCAGCTGTGGCCTTCCCAGTGCTGAGTAAAGCAGAAGCTTGTCATAGAATTATAACATCATTAAGGTTGGAAAGAACATCTCGTCCAACCATCAACCCATCACCACTACACCGCTAACCATGTCCCTCAGTGCCGTGTCCACTCTTCTTATGAAAACCTCCAGGACAGCGACTCCGCCACCAGCCTGGGCAGCCTACACCAAATCTCACCATTTGTTTCTTCCGTCCTGCACCATAATCCCTTTTCTTGCCTGTCAATCCAATTAAGCCTTTTTCCCAGTTGCAAGTTCCTGCCAACAAGTGATCTGGCCCAATTATTTTATGAGGTAGGTTGGGCCTGTTACCTCTTCCCTACCACACCCATTATCTTCTCTTTGTCCCTATCTCTATCAGCTCATACTCTAATCATCCAGCATACTTTGAAACCCTCCCATTTAACGTTATCTGCTGATTTAACAAATATGCCACATTCTTGATGAAAACAATAAGACCACCTTAAGGTAGCTACCTACCACAGCTGGCAGTTCCCTCGGAGCAGTAATTCAGCTTCGTGCTCACCCTGATGTGGCTTATTGGGACCTGTTTGACCAATTTGCTTATGGGAATGACATGGAGTCTCCAGACACCTTCTAAAATCGAGACAGATGACACTGACCTGCTCTCCTACGTCCAAGTGTCATAAGAACAAAAGAGATTTATCTGACATGACCTATTCTTGACAAATCCATGTCAGTTGCTACTATTCTCCTGGTTATCCTGTGGGTACTTACACACATATTCTTTAAGCACACATTCCTGAAATTCCTGGTGTTGACATTAAGCTTTTCCAAATTTTCCTGGCTCTTATTTTACCTCCCTTCTAAACACAGGCGTTTCAGTTGCACTACTTCAGTGTTCCACTGCCTCCACCAGAAGTTCTCTAGAGTATGTGATAAAGCAGTAATCCTGCAGTTACATCAGGTACCCAATTAGCAGCCCTGGATAACACTCATCAGGCCTTAACAAGCTGCAGATTTCTCTTGGTGCTTGACACCTCTCTGCTTATCCCTGACCGCTCTCTTGCTGGTCTTAATTGCACCCAGCTGCCTTAAGACAGGTGATCAGAATGAAGCCATATAACACTTCAGCCCAGGAGGCTCATGTAAAAGCATGACAATTAGTGGTAGATGCCAATAACAGCCATGTTTAGAACAGCTATTCTGAGACACAAAATAAGAGGAAGGGGGAAAATTAGCCAGACTTCTCAGTGGCTCAAAGGAAGGAATTTCCTAAAAAGTTTTAACTAATATATTGTATTATTTTCCCTCCCCCACCTATAGTATTTGCAATTTAAGGAGAGTTCTGGGCAATATCCTTCAAGCTTGCTTCATGTTATTCCCACCATGCTGTAGATATCTTCTTCACGTGTCCCAGAGCAAGTCCTCAGCCAGCCCCAGCTGTCTCCCCATGTAGCTCAGTGCTATCCTCAACTCCATGTGAGATCTCAGTGACAGCTGCTGTTATTCTGACCCACAGCTGGTGTAAACTGGCAAAGTGCTGCACTGAATTAAACCAGATGTGTATCTGGTTTCTTGGGGTTCATGAAATGGGGATGTATTTCCCCCCAGGGCAATGTATTCCAATAGTATAGTTGGCAAGCTGCTTCTTGCCCTGCTGAGAAGAAAGCTTTCCAGGCAGGATCCTCATTCTGCAGGAATGTGAAGATGCTGTTTTGTATTTTTTCCCCTGCATGTATGCTTATATTATTCTTCTCCAGCTACCACTCATGTGACAGTGATGAAAGGAGACATTCGAGACTACAGTCTGCTCCTTGCTGCCATGCAGGGCGTTCACGTGGTTATCCACACAGCTGCTATTGTGGACTACAGAAACACTTTACCCTTTTGGGAAATGAAAGCTGTCAACGTTGGGGGTAAGTTCTTTAAAACAAGCAATTAAGCAAAACACATCCTTAGAATTGTAGAACCATTAAGGTTGAGAAAGATCATGTACCTCTAAGATCATGTAGTCCAACCATCCACCCACCACCCGTATTTCCCACTGCCCATGTCCCTCAGTGCCACATCTCCAGTGCTCTGGATTGCCTCCAGGAACGGTGACCCAACCACCTCCCTGGGCAGCTGTGCCACTGCATCATCACCCTTTCTGAGAAGTTTTTCCTCATATCCAGCCTTAAATACAAACGCCTTGGTGTAATGTCATGCAAGAGACTACAAAATATGTATCTCCTCTGGTTTAACGCTTCTGTGTTCTCTAAATTTGCAAAGTTAAATCTGGACCCAGACATTGGATAAGTTATTCTGATCAAGGACATAACTTTCACTAATAGTACTGATTCAGAACATAGCTAGAGTGGTAGGAAGCTGTCTGGCATGTGAGAAAGACATCAATTAAAGTTGAGTTAAAGTGATGCTATTTCTAGCTATTGTGTAACTACGTGCCACACCTATCCAGGAGCTCCACAGCGTTTTCTTCCTATCACCAAGAGCTGATTTCATGCTAGGTACAAGATCTGATTAAAGAAAACTTGTTCATCGATCTCAGAAATAAGCACAGCCTATAAGAACAATGAAATCCCAATTACAGCAGCAACTCCACTGGTATCTCTGGCTGTTACCTACTAATACAGCTGTGAACCAGAAGGAAAGAATTTTGTACACATATATACACACCAACTTGGTAACTGCTTTGGGCTCCTACTGCTTGCTGATTCATTCAAGGGCAACATTAAACTACATTGCTGTAGTTATTTCCGAAACCAGATGCTTTTAAGAGCCTGTATGGTGTGAGCACACCAAGGATACTCAGAGACAGAGGGCTCCCACTGCCCTTTAGAGGCTTTGTGAGATCTTCCTCTTCATTGCCAGCTTGCTGCCTTCCCTTGGATGGCTTCAAGCAGACCTGCCTACATCGGGCTGCTGCCTTCACCAGGACTGCTCAAAATCTAGAGCTGAAAGATACAGTTTTCCATCCATCATTGCGGATAGAAGAATGCTGAACTGTATTTCACACCTACTGTAGAATTCATGGAAGAAAAAAGAGTCAGGACAGGTATATCATCCTAGCTGGCTCCTGTATAACTCAGGTCACAGAAATTCACCCAATGACTGCCTTAAGCACAACAATTTGTGGATAACTTGAACAGCCAAAAGATTTTTTGCCTAGGATTAGGAACTGCAAGTAAATGGGCTATCTATCAAGTCTTTCAGCAAATCGTAATGGTGCTTAAGAATATTAGTGTGGCTATAGTTAATTACTATAGCTGGCAAGAATTTACGTCTTTGTTCTGCTTTGATACCCTCCTTTGTTTCAACCTCTAGTTTCTGAATCCTTGACTAGATTGAGGAGCCCATTTAGTCACTTAGTCTTTTAAATCTGCTTTTTGTTAAGCTGAATGATGTTAATTCATCTGTTTCCAATTATGTTTATCAACTGAGGTTGTCAGTAACGTTATACAGTGGTAGGTTAATGGAGAATTAAATTATTTTCCACTGGTCTTCATACTGACTTACGATCTCTGAAATTATCCTAAATTCAGGATTTCTTTGATAATTTTACCAGGAGTCTGTTGCAATGGTTTTCACTCTTCAGTCACCAATCACTTCTACAAAGTAATATATGCAACTAGAACACCAATTCTTTTGTCAGAAAACTGCAGTTCACCGTGTTGCCCATGCAGTTGTTAATAACCATAGAGATCATCACATTACAACTAAAATTGTAGCTGCTGCTCTGGTGTTATAAACCATCCATACCTGTGCAATTGTACCCAAGGGACAACAGCTTTAACCTACGGCTATGCAAAGGATGGATCTATTTAAAACCTGTAAATCTCATGTGACCTGTATAGTAGAAACCAAAGTAGTTAATATTTCTCCTTCCCGACCTGCCTCACAGGTACTGAAAATGTGTTAAGGGCCTGCTGTGCCCTGAACATCCCATATGTTGTCTACACAAGCTCCATTGCTGCAGTGGGACCCAACATTTTGCACGAGCCCATGCTCAGGTAAGGCCCAACACATCGTTTTCATCCCTACAGATTTTTGCTACGAATCCAAAGCAGAACAAGCGTGCTCCCAATTCTGTTGATTCCTTCACTCCTTCATGAAAAGCACACCTCCTTTCAACATAAACTTGAACAGTATTGGATACACCTCACTGAAAGAGTTGGTTGTGAGATGTAGGACTTAACAGCACCTCCAGGCTACCTTCCATGTGTATGGACCTGTTCTTCTAATCACTAAAATCAGTTTGGCATTGGATCTCAGCTACTCAGGGTTTGACAAGGCCAAATTTTATCTTGCTGTTGGGTAAAAGTTTTTTTCTCTGCTTCACACTGAGTTGGCTCAATGGGTAGGTGATGCTCCATCACAGACCAACTTTCCCTGCCTCGTTAACTCCATAGTGAATTGCTAGCAAACCTGTGACAAGCTCTTAGTATCAAAAGAGAGCAAAGTAGAGCTTTGGAAGCCCTCCAGGGCAAAGATGGCATTTGGAACAATGAAAGACAAAGGCTGAAATTACAAGTTGGGGTTGCCTTTTCCTATCTTTGATTTCCAGAATGGACTCTCACAATCAGCTGACATTGCTGTTCAGGACCTGGATACCTTTGGTATTCATGGGACACAGGAACTGCCCCTTGAACTCCTCTTTCTGAAGACCAAGAACTGAAGTTCTGGTTAAATTTGAAGTTGAGTGGAGATGGGTGCAGTCTGACACACAAAACCGTAAGGCTTCTTGTTAATTTGCACAGGCTGCTCAAACCATGCAAGCTTGTGTGCAGAGGAATCTGGCTCAAAATCAAGTTGTTTCTCTACAGGCAGTCAGTCTAGACACAGCTGGCTTCAGTCGCTGGGCTCCAGCAATTGAAGCCTGGCTAGAAAAGGCTGCTTAAGACATAACTTAAAATGACCAACAAGCCTAAATTTCATACTCACAAGTAAGTTAAGCACAGTTGTTCTGAAGAGCATTTAAATACCCAAGTCCATAGAAATAAATGTCTCATATGAAAAAGTCCCTGAGAACAAAAAACCTCAACCCACTTGGGAGCATGAGCACTAGAAGCTCTAGTATCAATGAAAGGCTATGAAATTTGGTTATTAACATATCTAAATCACTTCTAAAAACAGATGTATGTGTACGTCTTTCTTAGAATTATAGTCCTGTAACTTGAGATGCATGTAAATAGGTATTTTGATAAAGATCTGTGGTAGATATCCCAAATGTTGCTTGAGAGGACAGTTCCTTGCCTTAGAGTCGTGCCCTTGTGGGCACAAGCAAAAGCCCATCCTGCTGCTCACAGAATGTATGCACATATGAGCATCC